TGACAGTCTCTCTCCTGGTCTGTGGGTTAGTTCTATTCCATTGTCCACACCTTTCCCATTTCCTTTATCTGTTCTTCTCTTGTTGGACATTTACTTTAATCTCAGCCCTCCTCTGCCACGTTCTCCCTAGGATGTCCTGTGCTCCATGCTCCACTGCCCTGTCCCTAAGTTCTATCTGAGAAACATCAGAATGGCCTTTGCCATGCATCTTGCCAACTTCCCATTCTGAACACGTAGCTATGAGCGGCTCAGCTCACAACAGTGTTTAGGCAGTGATGATCAGGATATATAAAGTTGTCCCACAGAATTATGGTGCAGATAAAACATTCCTATTTTTAGTGACCTTGTGATTGTTGTAATATCATAGCATCACAGAGCTTGGCATGTTCATGTAGATGATGGTAGCTAGCCTAAGCTGCTGCTGGTTGCCTAAAGTCTAGTAATACATTGATGTACAGTTTACATTTGACATGATAGTAAATGTGTTTCCTAAAGTCTTGAATTCTGTATATCTGTATATATGTTTCATTATGTCTCAATGTTTCTGAGAGATTTGTTGGCAGCATTTTCCGTTAGGCTTGGGTGGATTTTTTTTTTCATTTCTAGCCTTCCTCAGATCTGATCTTGGAGATCATGGCAAAGTCAGTTTTCCCAATGTGTTATTCTCTGTGCTTTGTTGAAGTGAAGTCTCCCTATGTTTAAGTAACCTCACAGTGGAAAGCAGAACATCTGATGCAGACAGTCAAGGATGACTACAGACACAGACATGGAGAAGTCCCTGGGAGGCTGTCAGGGGATGAGCAGAAGTAGGGCAGACACAGAGGAGAGCTGGGGCAGGAAGAGCAGAGGCAGGGCCAATGCATTTGTTTACCAATTAATTAATTTAGTTATTATTATAAAGGACATACGTTAACAGGTACTGGTTATTATTCAATACAGATATACATTGTTAAATGACTAATTGTCTAAGTAGACACATGCTCTAAAGTATTGATGATTTTGTTTTGGTGAAATCTTTCCTTTCTTCATCTTTTTACAATGATTAGTGTTGTGCTATGAGATACCAGCTCTTCCTGATGAGGAGTTTTCACATCCAAATGAGGACCCAAGACACCACAATCTCCACATGGACAGAGTAATGGATGTCTCCTGGTGAGATGAATGATTTGTCTCATCATCCACAAAAACTTTCCAGGGGAAGCCTCAGAACTTAGAAGTCTTCTTCCTAAAGCCTGTAGAGTTCACACACATGTTCTTTTTCAGGAAATGAAGCTTGCTCTTTTCTGATCAGGATGTAATGGAGAAATAAAGAAGGACATGTTTGAGCAGGTTTGGGCCGTCCGGGATGCAGGGAGCTCAGTCAGATTGCTGTGAGATCACCTGGCCCCAGCCCCTCCTGCCCACGATGCACGTGCACAGTGACAGTGCTCATGACAGAGCCACAGGGACCCGGCCTCCATCCCAGACGGGACATCCACAGGACTCCAGAGCCATCGTGATGGAGGAAACCCCAGGACAGACGGGGCCCAGCAAGGTCAGTCTACATGCACATGGCCTGTTGTCTGTCCAGTCCAACCCAGACTCCTCGTGTCCACTTTCATGTCCCCATGGAGGACAGCAAGAGGGCCTGGTCAGGGGAGACTGAGGAGTCCACCAACCTTTCCCAGGGTGCAATAGGGTGAGCTCCAGGAGTATGGCCAACCCCTGTGTTTTATAACTTGTGTCCCTGAGTACATTTGGTAGTTGGACAAAGAGAAAAGGAGGCTGAGATACCAAGAATCACTGAGTCAGAAAGTGAATGAATGGAGCAATTCTGTTAGGTCAGTTCTGAACCCTTGAGCAGTGCTACAGGCGGAGGGAGGAGGGCAGCATTTGAGGCCTGTTAAGAGTCATGGGTCAATGGGCTGTGTGCTCTTTCTCTCTCTCTCTCCCTCTCCCTTTTTCTCTCCTTGTCTCTCTGTCTCTGTCTTTCTCTGTCTCTCTGTCTCTCTGTCACTCTATGTACTGTTTTGAACTCAGGGCTACTATTTTAGGCACACACATGCATTTCAGCCCTTTCTGCAACTTTTCTGATGTGATTTATTTTCTGTGCTGTGGTTTTGCCTGGGGCAGGTTCCAGACAGTGATTCCACACTTGCGTCCTGCGTAGCTGGAATCACAGGAAACAGCTGCCACATGCAACTTATTGATGACATGTGTTGTCATTAAGGTTTTGCCCATTTGGCCTCCACAAATACTCATTTTGCTCTCCTCCTCCCAGGTCTCTAGGATTACAGACACCAGTCACCATGCCAGGCAGTTTCCCTCTTGTTCACAGAACAAATTCTGACTCTGTGAATCCTGGAATCTTTGTCCTGAATCTCATGGAGTCACCAGGGTCCCTGAGTTTCTTGTGGTCACCACTGCAGAGCCATTTTTGCTTCCACCGTGATACTCTGTTCATTCTTATCAGTCCCAGCAGAGGACTGGACCATCACAGAGGAATGCAGGTCATAAACTGCCAAGCCTACTCCGGTGGAGTCTGCTTAGCATGGGAAACCAGCTTTCAGACCTGAGAATGAGGCTTCACAGAGACCTATCTCTGAGAATGGGACTTCACCGAAGTCTACCTCAGAGAATGGGGCTTCACAGAGACCTACCTCCTGGAAAGGCTGGCAAACCCCTGGGAAAGATGTGTTTCTGTTTTTGTTTTTCTTTTCTTCACTGTATAAGAGCGCCTATTAATCTTTTACTGTTTCTGCTGCTCATTGTACTTACTCATGCTCAATGTTCCTTTATTCAAAGCTCTTTCTTAAGAGTGTTGACAACTCCAATATCTGATGAGTGTCTTAAAAATAAGACTAACTCACCAGAGTTAAGTGCTACCCTGGAAGCCCCTCTTATGGAGGCTAGCAGACAAGTCATAAGTAAATATAAAAGTATTGGGGGTTTCACAAAGTCACTTCAGCAGAAGGAATTGTTTGTAAGAGATTTACAAGAAGTTGTAGGCCCGGCTAGAACAGAAAGAATGTATGGCAATTGCTGAGATAACTACTTAGGAGAAAGAACTTCCTGTTACTCTCTTTCATTTACTAAGAGACTTGCTAGATCTAGGCCTCTGTGGCACCTACTATTAAAGAAGGAACAGGAAAGATCTTAATGGGACAGTTAAGGCCTCTATAAAAAAAGGTAATGGTTAATTGGTGATAAACAAAAGAAACCCATTGTATTTCTTAGAAATAGAGATAAGCCAAAAACAAGTGCCTATCAGGTGACCAGCTGGTGACCACCCAAGAATGAAGCCCTGCAGCAAGATTGTGTAACCTTTTGCCCTTTCTTAAGGAGACTTTTTGCTATAAAAGTTTGTTATCCTCTGCATTAAATCCCACTCAGCATCCACTCCTCTTGTGTGTGGGTTGTCGGTTTGCCATCTCCCCACCTATTCCAGATCCTCCACTAGGTGTCCTCAGTCGTCCCAACAGAACCAGTCCGCGGCAATAAACTGAGGAGAGATGCTGTCACACTGTGGACACAGAGGCAGGGCAGACAGCAGGAGAGCAGCTCTGGGCTCTGTGTACAGCTGCTCCTGAGCTGCCCCGATTCCAAGCTGTGCCGAGCGCCCCCTGCTGGTGCTGAGCGCCCTGCAGGGAGGTTTGTGTCTGGCCCACACTGGATTTCCTGCACTGTGTGTCTAGCACAGTAATACATGGCCGTGTCCTCCACTCTCAGGCTGTTCATCTGCAGGTAAAGTGTGTTCTTGCTGTTGTCTCTGGAGGTGGTGAAGCGGCCCTTCACAGAGTCTGCGTAGTTTATGTTACTACTACCACTACTGATGTATGAGAGCCACTCAGGCCTCTTCCCTGGAGCCTGGCGGAGCCAGTGCATGGTATATCTACTGAAGTCAAATCCGGAGGCTGCACAGGAGAGTCTCAGGGACCCCCCAGGCTGCACCAAGCCTCCCCCAGACTCCACCAGCTGCACCTCACACTGCACACCTGCAAACACAGAGAATCCTGGTCAGCAATGGTCACACACATCCACTCTTCCTCCCACTCATGTCCATTTGCACACTCAGTATCCCTTGCTCCCCATGAATCACCTTTCAACAGAGCAACAAGGAGAACCCAGCGCAGCCCCAGCTCCATAGTGCTGGTCTGTGCTCAGTCACTGGTGGAATCAGCTCACAGAGCTCAGGTCAGGGATGGGCTGGTTTTCATGGGCAGAGGGACGTCCTATTTGCATGTCCTCTGCTATAAAGCAGCTCTGGGGCAGAAGTCTCAGGAGTGCAGTGCACAGAGGTGGAAGGCAGAGTTTGTTAGATGAGTGGATCAACTGTGAAATGTCTCTAATCAATTGGCTTCAAGATTAAACAGTAAGGGAATATGAACTTCTTTAAAGAAGTTTAACTTTCCTTCAGTTAGTCAAGATTGCTGAGCCATTTGATTTTTAAAGAATGTATTTCCCTTTTCCTTTTGAATTCTTTCTTACTGTGTTTGTATTTGGTATGTTGAGGGGGACATATGAAACGTAGAACCAGGATGAACAAATACAACAGTGATACTCACCAGAGACTATGTGCAAAATGAACTGAGCCTGAACTCTGGGCCTGGGTGCTATCCCTCAGCTCTTCAGCTCAAGGCCAGTGCTCTACCACTTGAGCCACAGTGCCACTTCTGGCTTTTTCTGATTTTGTGGTGCTGAGTAATTGAACCCAGGGCCTCAGGAATGTGAGGTAAGCACTATACCACTGAGCCATCTCCCCAGCCCCAAAATGGAAATCTTATGGATGGGGACAGGAGGGAAGTATTGGGAGAGAGCAACAGAGAGGAAGAATGGTTCATAAAGAACTGCACTGATGATACCTGATTCACGTAACTGTAACCACTCTCTACATCAACTACACAAAAAACAGTTTTTAAAAATTAAATAAAAAATAAAACACATTGATCTTTAAGTGGCTCTATAAAGGTGGTGTCGGGAAGTGAGGCAGTTTATGAACACACTGAGGCTTGATCAACGTTGCTCCTTTCAACATTCTTGCCCACCCCTCTACCACCTCTTCCTTCTCTCTGGTTAATGTTCAGGACATGTATGCTGACATCATTGAACAAAGCAGTTTGTGGATACAAGGCATGTGGATCTGTGTCATTCCTTCCTCACCTTTCCCCTTTGACCCACCCTTAGCTCAGTGTTCTCAATTCTGTGGCCTATGCACTGTATTCTTGCCTGCATTCTCCATGTTGTCTCCTTCATTCTTCTACCATTTGCCCCTCATCTCTCCACTCCCAGTACCCACTTTCTGGTGCTTACTTTGTTGGTCTTTGACTTAGTCTTTGTGAAGAGCTATACTCCTTGATCTCTCCATAGGGTCTATTGTATGTGTGTCCCAGTGAGACATATTACAACAGCAGGAGAGGACCATTAGCATCGTTGTTCTGGGAAGCAGGGATGACCTGAGCTCTCTGCTCTTATTGCACATGGAGCACTGCTCTCATCCACTCACATTGTGAGAAACCTGTCAGCCAGGAAGGTGGCCACGCTAGACACAGGTCCCCACAGGCACATTGTCCCCACTCCTCACTTGTCTCTGAAGAGCCTTTTCTCCAGGCCGTTACACAAACACACACTTGATACTGAGGCCCGGCAGCCTGGCCTTTGAGTGACCCAGGACTGGAAATACCCCCGGCAGATCAATGCCGCACATTAAAAGCCAAGCCTGTTGAAGGTTGCAGTGGAGGTGTTGTGTGGATGGAATGAAATTCCTCACTAATTCCTCTCTGGCAACCTGGGTGGATCTGAGTGGGAACAGCCCAGAGAGGATGACATTCCACCACAGAGGCAGCATCTGCAGCAGGCTCTGTGGGAGGTTCTAGATCTCTTCCTGATGGCCAATCGCAGGAGCTCCCACCCACCCTGCACCTCCACAGCCCACGTGCTCCAGGAGGACCTGGCCCCAGCCGGTCCTCAGTCCCATGTGCACAGGCTCAGGACAGTGAGATGATGCAGGTGAAATCCCAAGTGATGACTGTTTTTACACTCATCCATGTCCCCTTAGCTACAGATATCCCCTGAGCTTCCCGCCAGAGTCCATAGAGAGGAGGACGGGACAGTCCAGGGCACGCAGCCTGGGGACACCAGTGAGTTCTTCCCAGGCATGCAGGAGCCAGGGCCACAGCCTCATTGACCTCCAGGTCCCGGTACTGGGCCTGGGGTCTAGAGACTAAATACAGGCCAAGTCTGCAGGGGATTAGCGTGAAGGACAGGTGTGGACAACACAGACAATTAAGAACACATGAGTCCTTCTAGAATCAAGCAGCGCCCAGATCCAGAACTGTGGCTGAGAATCCCATCCAACCTCATCATCTACAGCGTGTGTAGAAAGGGATGGAGGCAGAGGAGCTGGTGGGGGTCACTGGGCCTCTGCAGGTAGCCACAGCTCAGAGGTGCCCACGACTGGGCTCTGTGGGTCACAGAGCAGCCCCTGGTCCTGACTGATGGCCCCTCACATGTCACCAGCAAGAGGAAAAGAGAAAACGGGATCAAAGCCGGGTTGGATGCCTGAGCTATGTGAGCAGAATGGTGGGCCTTGAAATCCATTAGTGACATGGAGGCCCTGGCTCTGCACAACATCCTGTGCACTCCGACCTGAGGATAAAGACTGACCTAGCCCGGGAGTCCACTGCATCGCTCCCCAGTCTGAGAGGAAAGGACTGAGCAGGAATCTTGACCTTCCTCAGATTTGAACCCAGTGATCTCAGCTGTGTCCACCGACCGTGCATAGTGCTGTGTCTGATCCTCTCAAGGATGCATCATCAACCACAACAGACACAGGGCAATGGAAGACAGAAAAAGCTGTGTGCTGAGGAGTTGGAGAACAGTAAGAACACAGTGGACAGCTCTGTGGGGGACGCTGTGTCCTGTGGAGAGGCCAGGCACACAGAGGAGTCAGGGCCTGAGCTCAACAGCTGCACCAGTGACTGCCATGACCTCAGTGTGTGCCGAGCGCCCCCTGCTGGTGCTGAGCTCCCTGCAGGGAGGTTTGTGTCTGGCCCACACCTGATTTCCTGCACTGTGTGTCTAGCACAGTAATAGACAGCCATGTCCTCCACTCTCAGGCTGTTCATCTGTAGGTAAACTGTGTCCTTGCTGTTGTCTTTGGAGACGGTGAAGCAGCCCTTCACAGGGTCTGTGTAGTATATCCTACTACTATCGTAGATGGAAGAAACTCACTCCAGCGTCTTCCCTGGAGCCTGGCGGATCCAGCTCATCCAGTAATTACTAAAGGTGAATCCAGAGGCTGCACAGGAGAGTCTCAGGGACCCCCCAGGCTGCACCAAGCCTCCCCCAGACTCCACCAGCTGCACCTCACACTGCACACCTGCAAACACAGAGAATCCAGGTCAGCAATGGTCACACACATCCACCATTCCTCCCACTCAGCTCCACTCACACACCCAGTGTCCCTACTTCTCTGTCAATTACCTTGTAAAATGGCCACAAGGAAAACCCAGGTCAGAGCCCCCTCCATGGTGGAGGTCTGTGCCCAGTGCTGATCTCAGGATGGACCCCTGGAAGTCAGTCCTGACCTGCAGAGCTGCAGCTTTTCAGGAGAAGAGGGAGGCCCCATTTGCATGTCCTCTTGGTATGTAGCCAGCTCTGGGGTGGAATCTGAGCAAAAGCAGTGCAGAGAAGACAGGAGAATCAGGAAGTCATCAGTGACAATGATTACATGGAAGAAAACACAGACCACATCCCACAGCAGATCGAATGCTTTAGGTGATCTCATCTTACTGTATTTTACACAGCACAGTCATCACTCACATTAGGTGTTATGATGTGTGCATGTGTCACATTGTTGGTGGTATGAATTTGTAATAGAAGAGTCACTTGATTCTAGAGAGGTGCACTGCCCCTTGAGCTGTGTGTCCAGCCATTTTTGCTGTATTTTTCTTTAGTGATTTGGGGGCTATGACCATGCATTTTTCCTGATGGTATGGAATGTGTTCTCCTATCTGTGCTTTCTGTGCAGCTGAACGGATTGCTGTGCATGACCGTGTTTATCTCTGGGCTGACACTGTGTCTATGGGACTGGCTCCAGTCATTCCTGCCAATCTCCCCTATCGAGGAGGGGCAACCAACCCATCTGACCATTTTGTCACTTTTAAACTATGGAAATGCACTTATTTTATTTGCTGGAAACTTGTTCAGCTTTAAAACATAGAGGACTTGTTTATAACATTTCATAAGCACCGCAACATAGGGAAATCTGCTTCACCAGCAGCAGAGTCAGGAAATGGGGCATTCTTCCGGAAGCACGTCCTTGGCTTCCGCTCTACCCCTCCTCCCACCAGCAGTGGTTTTGGGTTAAGGAAGGCTGTGTGCTTCCTAATGCAAATATGCTAAGGGGATCATGTTAGGGTGGTCGTTTTATGTTCACTTTTCATCTACTTTTATTTTTGGCATTTGGGTTTGAAATCTCAGGCTTGTGTTTGCTCAGCAGGCTCTCTGCCATGTCTTCAGCTCCTTTGACTCTACGCTGTTTCTCACTTAGGATGAAATGACTTTGTCCAGGGCTGGCCTCATGCTGTCATCTTCCTAGGATGCCCATTATATTTGAGTTTACTGGTGTGGGCCCATGCGTGGATTATTGTGAGATACGGTCTCATCAACTTCTTGTGCAGGCTGGCCTCAATCCATAGTTTGCTGGATGTTTTCCCCTGCATAGCCACCAAGTTCAGCTCAGTGGTGTCTTAGTCCATTCTTGGTGGTATAAACATATCCCCGATTCGGAAACCTATACAGGGTGAGGATTTGTTTCTTATAGTCTGGGGTCAATGTGTTCAAGATCAAGCACTTTACTGTCTATTTTGGGCTGGTTTTCTGATTCCTAGGTTGGCATGCCGTGTCTTCGTGTGGCACAATAGGCACCTGCGTCCTTCCCTTGCAGGATGGGAAGGAAAGATCAGCTCCCTTCCTCAAGGGGACAGGAGGACACTCACCATCCATGAGTCAGGCTGCTTCCCTGCAAGGGTTAAATTCCAGGTCATGAATGGTGGGGAGCCAAGGCATGCACCCCATAGCTTCCCACCTCGGCCTGGACTCCTTTCACATTGTACCTTGCAAATGATTTATCCATAGCACCCGCAGCAAAGCGCTAGTGCCCCAGGGCTAATTTTACATTCAGA